GTAGGCAGATTTGAAATACTTACCCCTTACAATGAATTCACACTTCAGTTCAAATAAACTAATTTTATACTCAAAAAATGATCAGATCACGCGACTAAAATTATCGAACTGATGGAGCAACAAAACAACAAACACAGCACTAGCAACCGGTCATAAACAAACGTTACTACGATGAAAATAAAACCTAGAAACAAAATACTTAAAAATAATTAGCGATACTTACGAGATATTTAAAAATATTTAATAAATATTGGAACTAAAGTTTAGAGTGGGATGCCCCTAGGAAAAAAAAAATCATCAGTCACACTTATGAAATTCGAGCTTTATGAAATTCTTAAGTCAGTATATGCGGGGTTGTAAGCTCGTAGGGTTACTAGAAGTTCAAATTAAAAATGTAAGTATGATTCAGATTAGTGGGGGTACACGGTATGCGATAAGAAGAAGATTTTTAAACGTATGTTTACCTAGAACTTCAGGACAGTTTTATTATTGTCAGGAAAATTACAGGAATTTTATAGAAGTTCTGAAACGTCCAGGCAAGTCCAGAACAAAAATCAGAGAAGTAAGAGCTTTTAAGAGTAATTTCAAAAACTTGCAACGCACTTTAGGGAATATCCAAAACATTCAGATAAATTTTAAAACTAAGTTCAGAGCTGAATTCAGAACACTAAATGGCAGTCACATGAACTTCAGAGAACTTCACAATAGTTCCATTAACTTCAAGTTAATTTCAGGAACTTATTAATTGCGGAAATTTTAGGGAAGTTCCGAAAACTTCATGAAAATGTTAAGAACTTATTTTTTTTTACAATTACTTCATTTGTACAGGCTCAATCAAACAAACTTTACAGAGCCGAGCTATCATTTTCGTTCTACATTATTACTGTCTTATATTTAAAGTTAAAGGAACTGGACCGAGTACTAGCGGTTGTCTCGAGGTTAGAGAATATTTACAATTTTTTGGATGGGAAAAGGGAATGTTAAGAACTTATGGTCCGTTCAATTTACTTCAGAAAAAAATCAGGAACTTTAAAGATGTTCCAATAAAAAAGTCCAGAAACTTCAGGTATGCAAGGCCCTGAAGTTTCTGGACTTTTTTATTGGAACATCTTTAAAGTTCCTGATTTTTTTCTGAAGTAAATTGAACGGCCCATAAATTCTTAACATTCCCTTTTCCCATCCAAAAAATTGTAAATCTCCTCTTCAGTCCGTAAAGGCGCAGACCATGCTAGAGGTGGCCTGGATTGGATTCCCGGTCCGATCTAGGAATTTTTCGGGACAAATTTCTCGACTTTTCTGGGCATAGAGTATGATTTTACTTACCACACAATTATACCAACAATCAATACGAAACTAACGATTTTAAATTGGTTCACTACCAAGCATGGGACAAATCGTTCCATTTTGCATTCTCAACTCACTCACACGCATACAACATCAGAAACGAACAGCAGCTTGTGCGAGCCGAACTGATTTCGTTCGTAATCGCATTGCTTCTATTTTCTTCGATGAATGCAGAATTGAGCAAAACAGACAGCTGAGCGTAACATGAATGATTCTGAGTGTAGTAGTGTGGATGATGCCTCTCTTATTATTTTTTCCATGCTGAGCCTTTTACGATTGCATTCTGCTGAGTGAGTTGAATGAGAATTTTGCAGAAAGAATCACTTTTTATTTTCTAGCTTTAAACATACATTGACACATTTAAATCGCTATTAATATCGAGAAAACTGTTATACTGTAATAAGCGTCACGCAAATAACTTAAAACTGCTGTGGCCAATTCAACTGATTTAAATCAGTGAGCCAAAAACTATCTGACTCGGCTATTTAAATCGTTAGCATTCGGATTTTACGCATTCAATCTGGTTCTCCCTCGCTAGAGAAAATTTTTCGGCTGCCTTTCAGTTTATCCTTATTTCCTTCTACTGCTGTCAGTTCTGAGTCGAGCTGCAGAGTCACTTTATAGGAAGAATTTACCCTCGTTCTGCAATCTGTTTGTAGGCGAGGATGGCTATTTTGATTCTGTGGTGCTCGCGCGAGTGAATGAATTTTCCCATGCTTGCTCACTACTTGACTAGCCTACTGGTCCCAAGCAAATCGATTACGTACCCCATTCTAGTCAAAATTCTAGTATTACACTATGTTTGTTTTGATTCGCTATGAAAGTTTGACAGATAAAATGAGGGGTTAGTGGATTTTCCTATGTTTCGAGGGGTGAATCGATTAGCTTGGGACCGAAGATAGTACCAGAGCTGAGACAAAAAGTTGAGCACGTTTCTTCGGGACCTTCTGGTCTATGATTATACTAATGCAAAAATTATACAAGCATCGAATGCTCTCAATTAATAGCTGTGCACGGTGTAAGTTAATATGCAATAAGCAATAAGCTTGAAATGCAAAAGAAGAAGAAGAAGAAGAAGAAGAAGAAGAAGAAGAAGAAGATAAACTTCAAAGAAGTAGGGAGTCTCCTAAACGTCAGCGGAAATTTTAACGATGTTCCTAGAATTTATGAAAAATGTATAAAACCTTTGTTCCATTAACATCAGAAAAAACTGCGGGAATCTTTGAGAAGTTCAAGGAATTTCTAAGAATTAATGAAGTTTCAAAAACCTGAGGGTAGATCAGAATTCTCCAAGAACGTCTAGAACTACAGGGAAGATTTAAGATCAATCAGATAACTTCCAATAGCTTCAGGGCAGCTCCATAGATTTCAGGAAAATGGAAAAACTTCAGTTTAGTTTAATGTGGTTTAAGCATCTTAATGGAAGATACGTAAACTTTCATGAACGCCAGCTCTAGAGATCTCAGGGGAAGTTCAGATATCTGAAGGGCAGTCCCAATAACTTCAGGAAAGTCCAGACTTTCGAGAAAGCTAAAAATCTATTAATGTTAAATCCTATAAATTCAAGATAGCACCACGAGCTTCAGTCTAGAAAACTTCTGAAAAGTTTAAAAACTTCAAAAATATTTTCAGGGAAATATACAGATTTTTATGACAGATCCATTGATTTCAGAGCAGTCCCAAAAATATCATGAGAATTTCGAGAACATCAGCCATGTAACAATTTTGGTTTTGAAGAGTTTTATATGGCTTAGAATGGACTTGAAGGCAATTACAAACCGAAAACTTTAGGAATGTTCTGAGATGTTCAGGGAAGTCCTCAGAATTTCAGACAAGTTTAATTTTTTTAGGAAGTTTCATGATTTTCAGCGATGTTCAGAGTATTTCGAGGCAGATCAGAGAACTTTAGAGCAGTTCTGTTAACCAATTGTAGCAGCTATCAAGAAGTGAGGAGGAATTATAACATATTCCAAGAATTTAAAAAGTGTTCGAAATAATTCTGGAAAATTGTGGGGTCTTCAGAGAAGTCCCATGAATAACAGAAAAATTCCAGAAGTCCAGAGAAGCTCAGGGAATGTTAGAGATTTTGATGGAAATTTGAAGCTCATGGAATTTCCAGTATGTATTCAAACTTCAGGAATGTTGCGGGAGCTTCAATATGGACGTTTCCAATAACTTCCGGGAAGCACTGAAAACTACAGAAAAGTCTAAACTTTCGGGGAAGTTTAAAACTCTTGAAGAATTAGTAATTCTGTTTTGGTTTTTCAGTCTTCGAGAAAAAGTGTTGATCACAGTTTTATTATCCTCAACAATTCGATCCAGGGGATGATATTTTCATCAGGGCTGGTTTGAGATTAAGATCGTAAAGCATTTTGCACTGAACAATGACTTCGGGCATTAATCATCATAGCGTTAAGATCCACCGGTTAGTATTTTTGAGTTCTAAGATAAGCTGACTAGTTTTTTCCGTACCCTAGTTTTAATAAGAGGGAGCTAAAGTCCATCCTTAAAGAGGACGCATGGATTTGAAAAATCAGTAACCAGCTCTCAATTTACCATTTGCCACTTCTTATGCGGTTTCCCAAATAAACGATTCATGTGAAATTTTTATACAATACATACGCAAGACTATGACAGAAACACCTCACCATCTGTCAAGATAAATAAAATAAAATATTTACACAAAGAAAAATATGCAATTATACATCTAAATTAATGACATCAATTCCAATGCATGTGAACTAGATTTGTTCAGAAATTTACAATGTAAAAAATGTGTTACCCTTATAAATAGCGTCATACTACAACCAGAATTACGATTGAGTCCTAGCTCAAACTTTAACAGCCGTGGCACGTGATCAATAAATCTGTCATTTTCGAATATCCGACACAGTTCTTCTATTCAAATCCAGATGAGCCATATACCGGAACCGGTCTGTCCAATAAACCACTCATAGATTCAAACAGCTGTTATAGCCTGCATCTAACAGCGCAAAGGTTCTGCTAATCACTGCTGCAAAACTACAATGTTTCGATTTACACCGTGCCACAGAAGGTTACTAGCGATTTTTTTTTTCATAAATCAATCAACTTTTACCTTTTAATCCGTTTGTGTTTGGTGCGCACGCTCGCAACCGGTCATCCACTTGTATACGAGTAATGCGATCCATGCCGGTCAAAGTTCCGGTTACATGGAATAAAATTATGTTTACAACATTTCCCGCATTAGGTCAGATTGCCTTTATCCCGAGCTCCTTCCTATGCATCATCGTGCCGTGCTGCTGCATTGCATTGTTTTCGAATCGATGCCATCGCGATCGACCTAGCCGATCCTTGCCGATTCACTGCGATGCGACCAGTGTTGCCACAGATACAGATTTCCCTGAAATGAAAATTTTCGATACAGAAATCTATATTACACATTACACATTAATACAGATTTTGGGAAAATATCTACGGATTGATACAGATTTTTGAAGCTGAAAATCGAAACATATTTGTGGTGATGAAAAATGTGGCATCACTGAATGCGACGCGATCGTTCTAGTCGGTTCGGATCGCGTTCGGTACCGATCGCGCCCACGGTCACAATGAAATCGATAAAGTACTCCGGTGGCTCGGTGCGTTCCTCCAGTCGATCCATCGAAGGCGTCCCGTTCAGTTGTGTGTAAGGCAACCTGCTACAAGTGGTGGTGATCGCGGCGGGTGTGATCGTTTCTTGAGATTTAAAGTATTTGGAGCTTGCGCTTTCCGAGTGAAATAGGTGAGAGGGTGGCAAAGTGTATACGGTAGACGGTGCTTTTGCGAAAGATCGACGTAAGGTTTTCACGGGTCTGTTGTGCTATCTTTCGGTTGCATGGCAAGTTAATATACGGCAAAGGAAAAGCATGCGAAAAAGTGTCCAGTGATTTTTAAATACGCTACGGTTTGAACCTCCAACCAGAATGCGGTTGGTGCATTCTGTATGCAGTGATGCGGATACTGTTATTCTCAACCGGGGCCATCAACAGACGATACACATTTTGTGACGACAACGCCGTTGTGCGTTCGATTCCGCGAGATTGTTTTTTTTGGAGTAATTACTGCATTGGGTGGTGCAACAAGTTGTGATTCTGCAAATCGAATCGAAAATCGGTTAATTAGAGGCCGCATAAGTGAGTTTGGAAAAGGTGGTTGAATGCAGTGGAATCGATCGTGAATGAAAATAACACCGTGCCAAAGGATTAAGAGATGTTTATTCGGTAAACAATCATATGGACTGGTTGCCGGAAGAGATCAACGGAACACATATTTAATGCAAATTGAATTTCTTTGTTTAAAGGGATAAAGGCGAAATGATGACTAAATGCACATTTTCAAACGCGATTTGATTTGTTTTCGATTTCACACATGACGATCCGGCAGATAAGATTCAATCAGTAGTGTAATGTTGACTACACTACAACTATTGCGATTTCAAGATTGGAAATAACAAACACAGATGCAGTTTTATTCAAACTATAAAAATTAAACAGATGAATACGACCATCAATAACGCAGCAGGAGGAAACAGACTGAAGGCATAATATTAACGGTCGAAGATCATAAATTATTGCAATGCGTCACCGCGGGATAAAGTTCGATTGCGAATTTCGGTTATAATTCGGAAATGTGAAAGTTAACTGACATTTAACGGTTTTCGGTGACCGTTATTAATTTTCTTGCCATTCCGTTCCAGTGTAGCATGTCATGAATATGCAAGCAGCAGTTAATGGCCATGATTTGGTGGCTTGTTTATTATTTATGCACATGCGATATGATTAAGCGGCAACAGGGCATTTCCGAAAGTGTCCTCCGAAATATCTTCCAATCTACCTTATTATACTCAAAATATAAGATTAATTGATTAGAGCAGCCTTTGAATAGAAGGCGACTCTTAGGCCGCAGCCACTAAAAATATTGGTGAAATCGGTGACAGCTTTACCGTAGATCCAATAGCCCATTTCAAGAACGCAAGAACTCCGGGGCCTCCCTTAGCTAAGTCGGTAAAGGCGCAGCTACAAAGCAAGACCATGCTGGAGGTGGCTGGGTTCAATTTCCCGGTCCGGTCTAGGAATTTTTCGGGTTGGAAAATTTCTCGACTTCCATGGGCATAGAAGTATGATTGGACTTTGCCACACAATTATACCAATGCAAAAATGGTACAGGCATCGAAAGCTCTCAATTAATAACTGTGGAAGTGCATCTAGAACACTAAGTTGAGAGCACGCAATAAGCTAATATGCGATATGCAATAAGCTTGAAATGCGAAGAAGAAGAAGAAGAATTCCGAAGCTATTTCCACACATGTTAAGGCCCGCTCCTATACATTATCGATGCTAATAAACAACTGATAATGTATTGAAACTTTCAATCAAGCACAAGTGCCATTCTTGATCGATGCGTAACAGCGACCGTCACGAAAAGGTGTAAGCTTTTTAACGCTTATAACTTTGTCATTTATGGATGAAATTTAAATCCAAATACACCAATCGATACGAAATAACTCTCCAACTCTGCTATAATAAATGCTTTTCCAATTCTTTTCTAAAAAACTGTTGAAAATTTGCAAAAAAAAAGTGATGATTTTATCACTGTTATCATGAAATAAACGTTCTCCCCAAACCCAGTCGTCATAATCAAATATCATTTAGTAGAATCTGAAAAGTTATAAAACAGCGCTGCTTTTGTGCCACAACTCATTTTCGATTCGGACGGCGGCTGTGAAGCTAGCAGCAGCAGTAGGAAGACAGCGATTCCTGTCAAGCGCGCGTAGCGTTCGAGTTTTGCACCTCGAACCTTGCGCGTCGTTCTCGTAGTGCCGTTGCCTTCATGGCACAAGCGCTCCGAAGTGAATCAACCTCCTTGTCTGAGTGATAACGATCCCGCGCTCTACAAATCTCGATTACTTTTTCGAAAGGACATATCAGCTTTTAAACAACGCATTTTATCGTCAGTTTCGCGTAACTGATAACTCGCCCACGCATTCTAACACCACTATATCAGGTAGGGAAACATTTCCCCTATCTGATGGTAGTGTTAGCATGCGCGGGTGAGCTACCAGTTACGCCAAATCAACGATCAAATGCGTTGTTTACAAAAGCTCGTGGTTAAACGTGACATTTCGTAAGCTATTTTCAATGTTCGAAAATCCCGGAAATTGATCGATTTTCAAACATAACTCAGCCACGGTTGCCAAAATTTAACTTCTAGTCGATCAGAAATAACCACGCTCGGATAGCAGGGTTATCCAAAAACTCATCTGTCACTTTTAACCACGAGTTAAATTTAACTCGCCCATTGGGGCACAGCCTTGGAAGTAAAATTAGGGACCATCCATAAATGAAGTAGAATTTGTTTGACCAATTAACCGCCCTTCCTCCTAAGCGCTCTAGTTAAAGTATGGACGACTGTCACCACTACGTTATTTATGAAAGTTCCCTAAGCATTGGGCAACAGTGAAAATCAGCAGCACACACACAAAACGGGTTGAACATTTATGCGAAATTTCGGTATTGATCGTGAATATCTCGCAATCAGAACATTTAAGCTTGATATCCCTCGATTTAATTCTCGATACATTTTTTATTTATTGATTGATTTAAAAAAACTAAATAGGGTTAATTACCCCATTTCCGGCCTATTAAGCACAACCCGCACTTAGTCTTCCTTAATCTAGCGCAGTTTAGCACCAAACGGAATACCTTTCCGTACGTACCATAAGATTTGATAAAGAGAAACCAATCGTTGAGATATTGTCAAAAGTCTAACACTTCTTTTTGACGCCAAACTCGGCCTACGGATTCTAAACTCGGCCTAACGCTTTGAAACGCCATTGAAACGCCAATGAATTCACTTCGGCCTATCGAATGAAGATAAAACGTGATTCGGTCGGAGCGCTTCTTTTGTTTTTGGGAATAATGGGTGCAATCCTTCAGATCACGCGTTCTCATTGACTTCGTTCCGTAGCTTATTAGCTAAAGTATCGTACCAAACGCACAATTGACTTGTTAACTCTGAAATCAAGGATTTATTTGAAGTTTTCTGCTCAATAGGCCGAAGTAGTTCTCTACCCTATTGTTTTTTTTTTTAAATTTCGTGCGTTTTGTGAATGCCCATCCATTATATTGCATAAGAAAACGGGGTGTTTCTGTGGTGGAAAAAAAGGATTTCCCTACATAGATTACAGATTTCTGTACCAAGCACTGAAATTATCAGACGGTACCTCTATTTATGGTTGTATGGAGGAAACGTCGAGTTTTTTTCAGTGCTAGGTACTGAAATTCGACAGTGAGCGTTCAAACGGGCCTACTTGTAATGATCGATTCTCTTCATCGATTCCCAAGTAGCAATTCTGGTTTTATTAGGGTTCTGTAGATCATGATTTAGACTTGTAGAATGCTTTAAACCCTTGATAAAACTCGCAATGTTACTTGGGTTTTCTCTTTACATTGCTACAGCTAAGCGGAGCAATTCAATGTATTCACACAGCTTAACGTAGTCTACGTCAACCATACGGTCGTGTCTTGTACAAAACCCCACCATTTTTTTTTCTCAAAAAACAATTAGGTACCTACAACTTTTTCTCAGATGTCATTTTGATCAGATCATTCATTTTCTTGATATGATTTTTTGAAAAAATAAGCCAATTTTTGAATACGCCTTTTTCGAAAGTTACTCTGGAGGAAAACAAATCATATTTAAATGAGAAATGCAATCATATGAGTAATGTTCCATTCAAATCGGAAACACTCATGTCCATCCGGTTTGCTTTTTGGACTGGAAATGCTCCATAGTAAAATATTACGCATGGCAAATGTGATCGCGATTTTGTATGGGATATTATTCTATAACTCGATAATTCACAGTATTTTATTAACAAAACTCACAATGGATAACCCATTCCTCAATTCATTTTTCACTTATTTTAATTATGGAAAAGAGTTGGTTACCACAACTGAATTGAATATCCCAAAGATTACTTCCACATGATGGAAATCTCGCCTAACTTTTCAAAAGGTCCCAAGTAACAAATGTAAACAAATCGAGTTTATAAATGCACATTGTAACATTTCTACCTAAGAACATTATGCACACTTACACATTCAGATTAATGTCAATTGAATTGAGAAAATTCTAAATTAACAAAACGTCTGAAGTAAAAATTTGCATTAACGATGTTTCACTGTAACATAAGACGTTTGACTATGTTCATCAAGACAAACGTCTGAAGGATCAGAAAAACCAAAACAGTGCAGATCTGTACTTCGGTCCTTTGTGTTTATACGAGTAAAACGTCTAAAATGTTCAAACAAACCAAAACAATGTGATTTTTCACATCGGAATTTTCATGTCATGCATTTTTCTACTATTTCCGCCGGGGGGGAGGTGGGGGGGGGGGTTGACAATTATCCACGGCCCATACAAATTTTAAAATTTTTATATGGACAATTGTCTACGCATGGGGAGGGGGGGGGGTCAAGCATACCGAAAAGCTGTCTACGTAGTGAACAGCCCCTAAAATAACACTGTTATCAAATAAAAAGCAGCTCACGTGACCACCAACGATCGACCAAAACAATCTGTGGGCAGTGTTGCGATATACCGTTAAAAAAAAAGTTGATGCATTGTCCAATACTCATATTGTTCGTTTAACTCGTATAACTTAAATTATGCACTCATAATGCTTAAAAACAAAACAATAATGTTGAAAACATAAATGACCTATGTAACTGTGATTATAAC